TCTAGAGACATTTTTGATAGTCATGACTCATACGTGTGTATGTGTGTGTGTTACTAGCATCTAGAGGGTAGAGGCCAGGGATCTTGCTAAACATTCTACGGTGCACCAGACAGCCCCCCACAACCAAGACTAATGCAGGCCAACGTGCCAATCCTGCTGACGCTGAGAAATCCCCCTCTAGAGACTGGGGAGCCAACTGGATGGTTAAATTCCCATCTGGCCTGCTGGTTGCTACGGCCCAACTGAATGAGAGCAAGAGAAGCTTAGCGGCTGTCATAAGAAATATGGACTTGTGATGTGCAGCCAGGAACCACCTTGGATCGGGCCTCAGTCAAAAGTCCCAAAACCTTGGGCAGTTTCCCCTTAACTGAACTCCCGGCCTTAAGCCCAGCAGACCAGCCTGGCACTTGCCCCTTTCTGACTCACTCCATTGGGTTTCTCTTGCTCTTTGGTGGAAGCGGCCACCACACTCTCTTCCCACCCCATCTGCCTCACTGATTATTTTCAGCTTGGCTTGCCCAGGCCCAACGCTGCAATTACACCCCAACCTCAATGGCTCCTTCTGAAAATAACATTTGGGTCGAAGAAAACCTCAGTCTGGTGGGCTGGATTTTATACTAAACAGTTAAAGAGTGGGTGTGGGCATGGGGGTTGAGGGGGGAGACAAGGGAGTGGCACAATGGTACAATTAAAAGAAGAATCTGGAAGAAAGGGAAGGAAGAGGAAGTGAAGAGAGGGAAGGGGTGGTGGTGGTAAGGGCAGTCGCAGAAAAGAAAATATACCTCCTGGGCAGGGGTCAGCCATCTTCTAGAAGTCTTATGCCAAGTCTTCATTTATGCCTCTAATTGAAGGTTTTGTTTCTGAAATAACTTGCCCCATCACCGAGGCCTGGGAAATTCATGTCTGCCTGGGGCCAGAAGAATTAGTCTACGGGCATACCAATCTTCATCCAAGCTAGTGACCAGATTTTCCAACCCCAAAATAGGAGCCACATGGTTTGACATAGAATTTCTGTTCTCTTTCCAGGTGAGAATAGCAGTCTGGGAAACGTAGTTTCACCATGCTGGTAGGTGGAACTGCCATGGTCCGTGGAGAAGAGTGGGTAGACTTTTAAAGTAGGGATTCTCATGGATATCACGAGAGATTTATGGGTTGCTTTTAGTTCAGAGGAAAGAAGGAAACCATTCAATGAGAACCTCCGTCCTACCCTACAGGAGTGGGAGGGGGGTGGGGATGTAGGGTGCGAGGAAAGAAAGAACTTGGAAGCACCTTTTGAATTCCAAGGGAGGCAGACGGATTTTAAAAGGCTGTATGAGGTGAGATTTGGGGAACTAGGGAAGTGTTCCATACAGTAGTTAAAAGCTCAGTTCTGGAGTCAGACTGACTTACGTTCAAATTCAGACTATACTAACCCCTGGGTGATCTCCAAAGGTCACTCACTTGGCTGTTTCAGAGAGGCCAGCAGTAGAGGTTCTAGAGTGAGGCTAGTAAGGATTTGCATTCTGGCTCTGTGATCTTCTGCAAAGGTAATTCCCTTCTGTGTACTTTCCCTTTGTAAAATGGAAGGGTATGTATCAGGACCCAAACCTTCTCACAGCACCACTTCTCAGGTGTCCTAAGGCCAGATAATAAAGTGCCTGGGACACTGGCAATTACTCAACATATGTTAGCTATTTTTTTTTTTTTAATTACCTCTGGAGTTTTTCTCCAAATGCAGTAGGCAAGAAACTTTTTAGCTAACATACACATTTTTCTTTTTTAAAATTTGAACAGTTCTGAATTTATTTTCAAGTGTATTAAAATATGTGACTAACATGTCAAACTGTGGTTTCGCTAATGTTATTGCTTAGGGCAAGGCTATGTAGAAAAAGAGAATCGATTTAAAGTTAATTTAGAGAAAAAGGAGAGTTAATAAAAGAAGTCAATTAAAAATATATAATATAGATGGAATGTGGGTATGGAAGAAAACCATGCAGGCAATTCCTGAAAGGCTGAAAAAATTGGAAAATAATCCATGAGGCTTTCTGCCAATAAAACCTTCTAAGGCACATGGGTGAAGAAAAAAGGCAGGAAGATACCGATCAAGACGCTATCAGAAAGTTGTCTCCCCACCCCCCCACCCCGCCCCCTCAACCACTGTTGTTTCCTTTTTGAGAAATCGGTAGGAGGGCACAGACAAGCGAGGCCTGACACCCTAATGTCTTGGAACCCCGATAGATTTGTGGCTGGTGGGGCTGGGGTGGGGGATGGCAGGCAGAATCCAAAGGCCCAGCTCTGAAAACAGAAAGCCAACTCCCCAACTTCTCTCTCCCGTCGTTCAGGGCGATTCAGGCCTCTCTGATTTTTTTGGATCACTGGGTCAATCAGTCAGCCAATGCCTCGGGAGAAGTTTAATTAAGCTCAGATCGCCGGCGTGAGCTGCCAAAGGTCTCCCTGCCCGCCCGCGCCCCGCCTCCCCCCGCCTTCCCCGGCACATCTGGTGAAAAGCTTCTTCCCCGCCCCGCCCGGGCGGGCCTCAGCCCGCGCATGCGCGTGAGCAGGGCGCCCAGCGCCCAGCGGCAGGCTCGGCTCCCAGAACCAAGCGTTGCAAACTGTTGCATCAGACAGCAAGCAGCCGGCTGGGCAGCCAGGGTTTCTAGGAAGATAGCAAGGGTTTGAGGTCCTCTCTGGTCGAATGGGAGCGTTGGCTGTCACTCACGGTGTTTACACGCTGGTAACACGATCCCCTGAAACCTCAAGTTTGCCAGTCCGGGGAGGGCCTTAGCCACAGGTGAAAGTCGCTTGAACCCCGCGGCTTCTGCCTGCACTCCACGGCCCGCAGGCTGGGCCGACCGAACGGACTCGGCCTGTTTTATTAATGGCATGGGCCCTGAAGGAATGAGCTGGGTTGGATTTCTCTTCCCAAGTACAAGAATGCCCCTGAGGAATTTCTCACTCCGTGAAAGTGCAAAACTAATTTCCCCAGACAAGCGCTGTTGTCGGTTCCCAAAAGGGCTTGGAAAGATCCCAGCAGGAATGTTCAGTGGTTCCAAAGCTCTTCACCCAGCTGCTGGACGTGCAGACACTGACCACCAAGAACTTGGCGGGTGGACACACGTCCTTCACAGACGGGCCTTCGTTTTAGAGTCTCTCAGGCCCCTGTGTTATGGACGTTTTGGACATCAGCCAGAAAATGCACAACCCCGAACTCACACAGACACAGCACAAATGTAACAGTTGTCTAGATTTCAAGTGACTCTGCAAATCAGGTAAGGGAAAATTTTCTTCACTACTCCCGCATCGTTCTGATCTCTGGGCCTCTGCCTTCCTCAAGGGGAGAGAAAATGATGCTGTAGCTAGCTAGCAGGGAGGGGACAGTCATGGGCAGGGGGTGAGAAATTCAAGAAGAATGAATGTGATTTGGAGTCTACTCTCTAAAGGGATTCCCAGGGAGATCACCTGAACCCTGGGGTTCAACACTTTTTTTTTTTGGAATGGGTGAGGACCAACTCATTGAGTATTAACGGATTTTCTAAAAGGACAAAAACTGACAATGTATACCTTAAGCACTCTGTCTTTACTAGGGTGTTGATGTTGAAAATCTATTCCATCTGAATAATCTGGAAAGCTGAAACAGGGCTAGTGTTCTTCCTTCCCCTCATTATTTTGAATCAGTCAATCCCAAGGCGATAACAAAATGACCTGAAAGACATATCCACTTGCCAGCCCGTCACCGTAGTTTGTTTAAGCCAACACTGTCCTTTGAACAGTGGGGTATTATGGCACTATGGGATTTTGTTGTTGATGTAACCGATGCTTCATAAATATGGCCCAGGCTATTAAGGTCGTCCGCAATGATCATATGAGCTGAAGGCATGCCAGCTGGGGAAGGGTAGGAAGGAGTGTGGGCAAGTACGTTTCCAGGCCCTGCTTCTGAGGGTATATCTCAGGGCCCAAACCTCCTGCCCAATGGATGTCACCAAGGAGGTATCCTGGGGTCACAGAGTGTGGCCTCCTGGAGCTATCCAGAATGTCAGATATGCCTGAGCAACTGTCCCCACCTAGAGAAGCAAGTCATTGACTATTGTGGGGCATGAACGTTGGAGCCATGAGGCCAGGAGCCGGGTAGGAACTGGTGAAAGTAAGCTTGTGAGCTCGTGTTAGCTTCTCTGCTGCATCCACAACGCTTACACACAGTGGGCTGTCAATGCATGTTTCTAGAATGAATGCCCTGAAAAAATGAGGGAAGGAGCAGAGAGAGGTAAGGTCGGAGAAGTCCAAGAATTTCCAAGAAGCCTCCTGGGATGCCCAGGGTTCTTTTGTGTTGGGCAAGAGGGGAGCCCTTGTAGTTCAAAGACATAGGGCAAGAGAATCAGAACTGTGAAGTGACAAGTCTTCCGAGGTCCCTTCTGCCTCGGTTTCCCTGTTTGGAAAGGCCTCCAGTTGGTGACTCCAGAGCTGAGCAGTCATTATATTTAACCAAGCCTAGTGACATCATCATCAACAACAATTGCCTCACCTTGACTCAATTCCCAGAGCGAACTTCTGGGAAAATAAGGGGTCTGAGGCAGGGTGTGTGACTAAGACCCAGGGGACAGGAAAAATCCCCCAGAAGCCACACTCTAAAACCGTAAGCAAAGTGGTGACCCAGAGGGTTAGATGATGCAGACATACACCAAAAGTGTGATTCGTTTTCCACATTTCTCGGGCACTCACCGATTCTAGACACTATACAGAGCCCAAACCCAGACAGAGCTCCCGTTCTAAGGGCTTATGATCTAAATTCCTTGTGGAAAGTCTGTCTTTCAAACATTTAAAGCACCTCATTCAGTCCTCATTTCCATTTCAAGTCATGCATCTCCTTCCTGAGAAACCCACCAAGTTTGAAGTTTGTAGCTGGCCTTCCTTCTGTTTTTGCTATTTATGTGCCAATTTAAAGGGTGGGGAGAGCTACGTTAATTTAAAAATAAAACACAAATAGTGAAATGAGGCTTGGTTAAAGTAAAAAACCACAGAAGGCATTTTTTTTCCCTTCTCATATTTTTCAGATTTTCCTAGAACCACCTTTATTTCCTCAGAGTGCAGTCATAGAAAGTGATGCTTTTCCAAGTGAAAGCTACAAGCCTTATTCCTATTCTCTCTCTTTGCACCTTCAGGTTTTCTTTTTCCTGTTCACACATTTGAGGGAGCAATTGAAAGTCCCTAATTCACATGTGGTATTTCTGAACACTCTAAGAGTAGATTTTGGGTTGTTTTTGCTCTGTTTGTATCTTACCTCTTCTGTTCAGTTGGCTCGGCTTGTACATTCTGGGGATGGGAACACGGCTTTAAAGTCAGATCCTCCTGGCGGATGCCCAGACCACCATTTATCAGTCTTGTGGCCTCTTCTATCAAAAGGAGAGTAATGGTGTACTCCTCCCAGGGTTGTCATGAGGATTGAGGAGTCAAGACAAATAAAGGGCTCAGCACAAAACAGGCTCTTAAGACACAGTAGCTATTAAAAACAGATCCTTTCAACCAATCTGCTCCTTCCTTAAACAAGCTCCTCCTCCTGTTTTGGAGAAGAAAATCAGTTATCTATTCCAAGTCGATGATTTATCCCCATTTTACATCACCAAAGGGCCCGTGAGAGGGGGAACAAAACCGAGATTGACCTTGCAAACGCGTGAGCCTTTTAATGGAGAGAAATCAGTGTTCTTGCCTTTCAGCAAGAGGAGACCAAATCAGCGGGGCAGGGACTTGGGGAAGCCTTGAAGGCCCACGGTGGGATAGCAGGACCACAGAAAATGGGGGAGAGTAATCAGGGAAAGCAGGCCCAGGGCTGAGATGAGGGGCCAGAGGGGTGACAGTCGCCAGGTAAGAAAGCTTCCCACTTGGGGAGTTCTGAGTCCAAGCTTCCGCAGGGCCGAGGCTGCCGCCCGGGGGTTTGGGGATCATGGGACCCGAAGCGCGTGCGACAGCGCCCTCTGCCGGCCGCGCAGAGCAAGTCGGCGACCCAGCCGCTCTGCAGGTGGGACCAGGGATCCCTCTCGCAGCCTCCGCCCCGGCTGCATCCCTTCTGAGGACCGCGCCGCCAGGTCCCGACCGGATTCTGAGAGACGCGTCCCTATCAGACACCTGCGGGCTGAGCATCGTCCAGAGACGATGCTCGGAAACGTCCGATTCACCTGGGGATCGGAGGCTGCGGGAACCCACCCAAACCCCGCAGAGGCTGCGCCTCTTGGGACCCGGGGCCAAAGCCTGCTGGGCTGTCGGAGGTGGTTTGGAAGTGGCATCGCCTATGGCCAAGACCGCGGGTTCTGCGGACAGAGAGGAGCCCTGGGTTCGCTTTCTGCCTCATCCATTTTCCAGCTAGGTGACCTTGGGCAAGGTACTTAAATTTCCATGTGCCTTAATTTCCTCATCTTTAAGATGGAGAGAATGATCCCGACCTTATGGGCTGAGATGAGGATTACATGGGATCCGACAGCCTGGGTTGGAATTCCGGCACTGACATCAGCTAGCTGTGTGCCTGGGGCAAATTACTTAGCCTCTCCGTGCCCCAATTTTCTTAAAATAGGGATAATAACGGTACTTACCTCCGAGGGTTGTTGCCTGCAAAACGCTTAACACAGTGCCTGGCACAGAGTAAGCGCTCAATAAATGGTGGCTCTTATGGTTGTTGTCGTTATTATTGTTCGTAAGAGCGCTGAGCACACGAGCAGAACTCTAGCGGGCTGCTATTATTAGTCTCTTTCTTGGGTCCGGCTATGTCTTTCCGGGCATTGTTAAAATCTTTACCATGCGGTCGCGTCCTTATCAGTAGCCGAAGGACAGCCGGCCTTCCTGAGATTGGAAAAATCGAGGTTCCCCTGGAGGAGGGCCAAGGACGCGGCCGCGGGCTGCAAGGACCGGGACCTCCCCGGGGGACACCCGCGCCGCGCCGCCTCCGCCCGTGCCTCCATTAGCGCGCGTCAGAGCCGCAGTGACGTCGCCAGGTCCCGGCGCTGGGGAGGCGCGGCCTGGGCACGCGGGGAGCCTGGGTAGGGGGCGGAGGGTGGCCGGGGCGGCCGCCCGGCTGCAGGAGATGTCCGCGGCCGCGCGGTGCCTTGCTGTCTTCGGCGGCTTTGGCCGAGGCAGCCCCGGGAGCTGCGGGGAGTCCGCGGCCGGGGTAGGCTGTTCCCCGCGCCTGCCCGCGCGGTGCGCCATCGGGCTCCGCCCGCACCCCGCGGGGAGGCCGGGGAGGCCAATGCCAGGCCCACCCAGCCGGCACGGGGCTGGTCTCCCCGCGGCCGCTCCGCGTCTGCGTGGTCCTCCCCCTCCCACCCTTCTCTTCCCCCGCCCGCCCCAGTCCCATTCCTTGTCGTCCCGGAGAGACCTGCTCACTTTCTTCTTCCTCTGCCCTCCTTCCCAACCAGCTCCTTTGCTGGGAGTGGTCAGCAGCCGCCCCCAGGAGGCGACTCAGGTCCCAGCTTGTGGCCCCCGGCGCCCTCATCCCGCTGCTCGCTGGAAGGTTCCAGTAGACTTGCCCAGCACGCACCTCCAACTCGCCGAGCCTTGCCCTCATTATTGCCCGTGACGGTGGAGCGCCCCCACCCACCCATCGTCCTATATGTCTCACCTTCCCTCCTAAATACCGCTCTGGGCACTCTCCACTTCTTCCGGGATGGCTTCTTAGTTCCAGCCATCCTGGTTTGGGCTATTGACATATTCCTCTCAAAGGTCTCCTTGTCTGCACACCAGCCTCCTTCACATCCGTCCTCCACGCACTACAAAAGCCAGCCACCTACAACCCATGTCTGGCTACGCCTACCCCGGCTTGAGGCTGGCTGCCCACCCTGGGACCTCAAACCCTCTGTCTTCATGGACACTCTTGTCTGCCATTTTTGAACATGTCCGGAGGTAGTCCTGGGTCTACCCACTCTATGGAAGGCCCTCGGTGTCTTTACTGCTGTTGGTCCCTCTCCAGGGAATTTGCACCTCACTCCCTCCTTCTCCTTCCCCAATTGGCTTCCTCTTACTCATTCTCCACAACTCAAGATATGAGTCACCTCTGACAGGAATGCCTTCCCTGTTCTGCTATCTATGGAAGAGAAGTCTCTCGGGGACCCAAAGCTTCCCATCTCTGTTGCTTTCCTCATAGGGTAAAGACCTGACTTTCAAGATGGCTCTGGAGGCCCTGCATGGTCTGTGCACATGCCCCACCCCCATCATCTCCAACTCCAGTCCTTTTTTTACTTCTGCTCTAGCCACACTGGGGTCTCAGTTCCCAGACCCTGTGCACACCCTCCAGCCCCAGGGTCTTTGCACAGCTTGTTCTCTTGGCCTGGTACAACTTTCTGCCCTTCCTCACCTACTCAGTTTTTGGCTCTCATCCTAAGTGAGCATCATGTCCTTAGAGACAGCTTCCCTGACCCTTCCCATAACCCCACCTCCAATTCAGTCCAATTCTTCTTGGGTAGATCAAAGCATTTAAAAAACTACGGGAGAGTAAGATCATCAAACCGGTTTATTCTGCACCCCTTCCGGACCCCTCCAACCTTTGCCAAAGCTCAACATTTGCCCTAATTTCTTCAAATCTTTTTTTTCGAGAACATAAAGCATCTTTAGATCTAGATAGGGCCCTTTGAACCCATGTCTGTCCCTCTCCTAAGGTAACTAACCACTCTCCTGCTTCTGGGGTGTATCATTCCTATACATTCTTTTGTATTTTTACTACATGTGTTTCTGCCTATAAACACCTCATAGAATGGTTTGGCATGTTTGTAAACTTTGGGGAAGTGGCATTATACTGAATATATCATTGTGCAACTTGCTTTTTTTCACTCGGTGTTAGGATTTCAAAATGTATTCACATTGATATATGTAGTTCCAGATCATACGTTTTCACTGCTGATTTGGGTCCCATTGTATGAGTTCACCACACCCTATTTACCCATCTCTTTCTGAAGGACGTGTAGCTTATTTTCACATTTTCTGTTGTTAGAAACAATGCTACAGTTGATGTTTCTTATACCCATCCCCTTGTGTGAAAGTGAACTGTCGGGCAGATACTTACTTGTGTGCGAAATTGCTGGACCAGGTCATGTCTATTGAAAGCTTTACTCAGCATTGCTGAACAGTTTTTCAAAGTGGTTGTACCAATGTGCACTTTGATAGGAACATGTAAGTAAGAGTTCCCGTGCTTGGCATCCTCGACAAGACTTGGTAATGTCAGACTGAAAAATTTTTGCCAAGCTGATGGGTGTGAAATGGTATTTCAGTGTTTTAATTTGCAATTCCCTGTTTACAAGAGAGACTGAGAAGACTTTCATTAGTTTGTTGGTCATTTGCCTTTCATCTTTTAAAAATTGCCCTTGGTTTGACAGTGCTTCTATTGGATTATCTCTTATTATGCATAGGAGCTCTTTATGTATTCTGGATACTAATCCTTTGTCAGGCTGTAGCCCGTCTGGTGTGTTTTACTCCACTCAATTACAGTTTGAATCTGTGTGATGATTTGATTAATGTCTGACTTTCCCATGAGACTATAAGCTGCAGGAGAAGAGGGACCATTTCCTGTGACTAATGCAGTGTCTGATACCTGCTAGGAACTCAATAAATACTTCTGAACTGAATTACATTGACCTTTATTTGTCTTTTTCTATGCTTCTGCTCAGCCCTCACCCTCAGCCTCTCACAAGGCTATAAATTCCTCTCGAGCAGGAATCTGGTGCTATTTTCCTCATCTTTGTATCTCCATCTTTGGCTCCATCACGACACAACACCCCTGGCTCAGAGGATCTATCCAGTCATTTCTGCTTGAGTTATTTTATTTGAGCTTTCTCTTTCCTTTCTCCTCAACCTATCTTTTATCTCTAAGCCCGGGTATATATTAACTATAAAATGAACGAATAATCAAAACCTCCTTGGGTGTTTGTGAAAATCACAAGATATAACGTATGCTGGTAAGTCGAGCAGTGCTTAGCACACAGTTGGCGCTCAATAAATGGTGACTTCCGTTGTTCCCACAATAATCATTTGGGTGACTAAAGATATACTCTGTTTAACTTTAACAGACCAAATTCTTTGAGAGAGAGAATAAAAGTGAACTTCCTGAAGATCTGGTGAGCAGGTTTTTTATTTTTTTTCCTTTATTGGCATTTGACCCATTATATAAGGCTCAGTCCCAACACGATCTCTGAAAAGCATCAAATATCATTCTTCTCCTTCTCTTTTATAAATTCCAGACATATCAAAGGCATATGAACCATACATAGAATTCAAACCTTTAAGTGGAAACATATAAAGGCCAATTCCACTCCTTTGGCCAGAAGTCAGAGAGCAGAAAGGAGGTCTGTGGGTGATACCAGGGGTGGGATTGAGTGGCTGCAGCCAGGGACAAAAGCAGAATTCTTACATCTCTTTCCTAGATCTGCCATTGATTGTGTGACCTTTGATCTATTTATAAAATGAAGACAATAATTCTTGCTTTTTCTGGGAGGTGGAACTTCATTAATTACGCATTTTTAAAAATGCCTTGAGATCCTTCCCATGAAAGCCGAAAGTTCCGCTATATTTAAACAGTGCTCCGGAGAAACGAATGGCCCAGCCCCACCTGTCCACACAACAGAGGAATATGATCTCTTTCTTACCAGAAAGCAAGGCTCAGGAAGGTCGCTTTGCATTCCTGATGTGGTGTGTTGCCGGCAGACAAGGGAAACCCCCTTCGTCTCTGGCCCAAGCTCGAAGGCATGAGAAATCTCAGGGCAGCCTTTATTTGATCAAGATGTCATGCTCTACAGAGACCCGCCCTCTCTAGGGTTTCATCCCTGCTGCAGGAAAGCAGGTGACTGTGATGGGCCCACTATAATGTGAGCCCACAGAGAGAACAGTTAGAGGCACGGTGACTGCTGGCAGGGGCTCTCCCCAGAATACCCAGAAGGAACGAACTTTGCTGCAGGATGTAACTGGAGAAGGTGGGCTGCTTCCAGAAGGTGGTGTAGTCAGGGCCCCCTCTGGAGCCTGACCTTCTCTTCAACTCTGGGATCTGGGAGAGGGACCTGAAGGCTCAGGGAGGGCTGAGATCCCCAACTGACAGCTCTGTGCAGTGGCCTCCGAGGGTTATTCCCGCCCCTACGGTGGCTGTTGGAACCAGCAACACCATCTTGCAGGCGCTCGAGGAGAGAACCCTAGAACCAGAAGACCAGGCTGTAAAATCCAACAGCAAAAAAAAAAAAAAAAAAAAAATCCAGCTGTTCCATTTGGTCACTAAACCTCTCTGAGCCTCAGCGCTGCACCTGTGGGCCGGGGCTAATGATAACCTGTCGGGGCTGTTAAGCAAGATCACAAGAGAAAAGACATGCGACAGTACACGATACACAGACTGCGGAAGGGGGGAAGCCAATACTCGTCGAGAAGATGAAAACCCTAACAACTCATTTAAGTCTGAGCAGAGCTCAGTCCCTTATCACAGTTTTTTTCTTTCTGTTCTTTTTTTTTTTTAAGATTTTATTTATTTGTTTGACAGACAGAGGTCACAAGTAGGCAGAGAGAGAGGAGGAAGCAGGCTCCCTGCTAAGCAGAGAGCCCGATGCGGGGCTCGATCCCAGGACCCTGAGACCATGACCCAAGCCGAAGGCAGAGGCTTTAACCCACTGAGCCACCCAGACACCCCTCTTTCTATTCTTTTTTTTTTTTTTAAAGATTTTATTTACCTATCTGACAGAGAGACAGAGATCACAAGGAGGCAGAGAGGCAGGCAGAGAGAGAGAGAGGGAGAAGCAGGCTCCCCGCTGAGCAGAGAGCCCGATGTGGGGCTCGATCCCAAGACCCTGAGATCATGACCTGAGCCGAAGGCAGAGGCTTAACCCGCTGAGCCCCTCTTTCTATTCTTAAGGTAACACTTGTACCCGATTAAAAACAAAAACAACAACAACAACAACAACCCACACCAAAAACCAAAGAGCCCGAGAGAGGATACAGGGAGAAATGAGCATCTCTGCCATTGGAACTTCTTGTAACACTTTCTCCTCCCCTGGTGGCAATAAATATTAAATAACAGTGCCAGGTTCTGGTGTATCTTTC